CGGGAGATTTTCATCCAGAAGCTGATCTTCCTAGGCTGGAGCTGCTGCTACTCCTGTGCTAGCCCTCAACCACTGGCGCTCCTACTCGGCTCCAGTGTGGGCCATTAACCACCCTGCCCGATTTCGCACTGTTGCTATTCCACACCGTCAGCATTTAACTCTGAGGTCAGACCTTGATCCCTCCCACCATATGCTATCTGTCTGTCTGCCTCTCTCTCTCTCACACACAGATGTGCGCGCATCCACACAAACACACACACACACACACACACACACACACACACACACACACACATGCACACACAGTGACACAAACATACACATAGCCAACTTCTCTGTGTTTGGTGATCATCATCTGTTTTCTGATGTGCAAGCTCACCTCTGATGCCGATTACTTCCTTGCTTAGACCCGGTCTGCTATTAGACCAGTCTGCTCTCCCTTCACTCGCTTGTAAATCCTACTTGGAGCAGTAAGGTTGTGTCACTGCTCCTACTGATGTCATTGTTGTGAAAGCAATATCATCGCCATTGGTGGTAATTTTCCACCGTGCATGAATCATTAACAATCATCATCTATGTGTCACGGCCTAACCATCCTCGTAACTCCCCTCATCGTGACTAGTGCTGTACCGTTGAAACCTACTTTGCTTCAGTGTATATTCGCTCCAAAGCTCTTGTTTTGTTGCATAGTGATCTGACGCAGTGTGCTATAGCCTATCGGCAAGAGTACATAACCCCCCAGAGTGTGCAACGCCTGATCCAGCTCTGCATAGGGTCTTGGTCGAGCGGAATCGGATCTTTGCGTCATAATACCGTACACATCTGAGGGGAACCCGGGGAGTCGCGGGTACTCTTGGATCAAAAACAATGGTGCCCTGCCTCGAGACCGGCCTTGCGCTGGTGTGAAGTGTACGCATGACATCAGAAGATCCGATTCCGCTCGACCAAGACCCTACACAGAGCTGGATCGGCGTTGCACACTCTGGGGGGTTATGTACTCTTGCTATCGGGTAATATGGATAAGATTAGTACAGTCGGCATCGCCTATCGAGTGACCAGGTACATGTTTAAGGGTACTAGTACATGTATACCGGCTTAATGATATCGGAACACAAATAGCACTATGTGTGCAATATTCCTTTCTAAGCTCACGCTGTGCGGTGCAGATAGGTCATGTGTCGTTGCCAACTTGCCGCATGTGCATGTGCAGCAGGAAGGCACCACATGTCGACTACTACTTATACTGTACAGCATTGTGTGCTTACATGCATCTACGGCCTTGTGGATGCAATTGAGTCTCACATACATGTACATGAAATATTGCGTGTAGTGCGGCAACAGTTAACATACAGTGGCTAAATATTTTTCTCGCAATAATGACCGTATTCACCACAAGTGTGTTTATGTCCAGAGCCAACTCAAGTCCTGTATTATTTATGACCATGACAACAAGACTTCCGGGCTGAAATTCTTCTATGACAGGCATGAACACTTGCCTTACAATTGTTCGTGATTGTACGAAGTACATATTCGCTGTTGCATCAATTTTGCACCATTTACATTGTAGTGCCACTAGTGGTATCACCTGCATGCGTATTGAGTCAAACAAGGTTACCTCTGTATAATTAAGCTTATCGTGGCTATCAAGAGCTTCGATGCAAATTCCCAGCTGACGAATGGTGTCCAGCTTGTGTTCAGCTCAGCTGGCACTCACAACTCATAATAATTGCGTTCTAGACGCCAGATGAGATGTTTCAGCTACAATGTAGACACAACGTCCGTGTTCAAGAAAGCCGTCACTTCATCTTCTGTCCATCCTCAATAGCACGTTCAAGCAAATACGTCTGAAACACAGTAGCGACAACCCGACAGCGGCGACACGCCGTCTTCTCCGAATGAGCTTCTACCGTTCTAATTCAGATTCTCCCAAAAATGTCAAAATAAATAATAGATTTCCAACAAGCTCGCTAGAATCTTGCGCACCGTCAACATGCAGGCATTTCAAGTGTTCGAGCGTGCGTAGATTCTGCTCAGCGGCTCAAGAACATTCGCCAAGCGAAAAAAAGTCGATGAGAAAGATGTAATGGTGGACGAAATTACGAAAATCGGAAGAAGGTATTCGACCCAGTTCGACTATCCTGGACTGGATTGGCAACGTCCAACAATCGGATTCGTATTCTATGGGGTCTCATGAGCTAGTGTGCCAAAGGGCGTTTAGTTGGAGCTTCAGTGCATCACCTTCGCCGAAAGAGGCCCTTTCTGAGATTTGGCCGATGGACTAATACCCAAATATATTCATGCATATTCCATGCACACATACATGTTAGCATACTTGACCACATCTACTTCAAGTAAATGCATATTACACCGTACATGATAAGAAGAAAAAAGTTTGTTTTATTTTTTTTTTAGAATTTTACTGTTGAGAGTCATAAATTACCACTCCCGAGCTTGTCGGATAACCGACGTGCTCGGATAACCGACGTGCTCAGATAACTGGCGTCCGGATAAGTGACATTCGACTGTACAGGTAGACTCCGTCTAATTCGAGCCTCAAATTGCCAGGCACTATATTCGAATTATCCGGAACTTCTAATTATCCAAAATGCAGTCCCACGTACTGATATGTATGTCAAAAGGCTCGAAATTGTGTGCTGATTATTTTTGCATATTAATTTTATTTGCAACAACGAAACATAAAAAAATAAAAAATAAAAAGGAAATTATCGTGTCCGTTCCAGAAGGGTACTCACGACTGCCGCTAACACCCGGTAAACCCTAGCGGCAGATGCAGCGCCTAAAAGTGGGGGTGAGTGGATAAGTCTCACTACCACTGCAACTCATGTGTTCCACAGACCCTCACCAAATTGGAATCCTTGCACGAAGGAGCCATTTTCAATCTACTGCCTCCTCAACAGTGCAGTGTGTATTCGAATTATCCGGAACTTCTAATTATCCAGAATACAATCCCATGTACTGATATATATGTCAAAATGCTCGAAATTGCGTGCTGATTATTTTTGCATATTTTATTTGCAACAACGAAACATAATCAATATAGCTTTTCGGCTGTTTCCTTTTCATGTATATAATCTTCTCCTTCTTTTACCATGGTTGGCTATCACCCACATCTTCCCGTTTTGGCTGCCATCGGAAGCCATAAGATGTTGAATAAATAAATAAATAAAATTAATAAAAAAGTAAAAAATTAAAGGAAATTATCGTGTCCGTTCCAGAAGGGTACTCACGACTGCCGCTAACACCCATTAAACTCTACCGGCAGATGCAGCGCCTAACAGTGGGGGTGAGTGGATAAGTCTCACTACCACTGGCACAAGTGCCGTAGGTGGTCATGAACAACGAAATCAGTTCATTTCACCAAAACACTGGATCGACATGAAGTCATTGGACATTATTTTCATCTTCTACTAAGTTCTAGTGAAGCAGTTTTCAATCGCTGCAGTTGTCCTGAAACGATTTCAACGCAAAAGAACAGCGCTGCTTTCTCTGCGTCATGAAAGCCCGTCGGAGAGCAGCACGTCGTTCTGAAGAACGGAAGTGGAGCATAGGCATGGACGATTTTTACGACTTTCAGTTTTAGTTCAGTCCTAAACTTCTTTGCACATAAGCTGGCCCGGCATGACAAACCATTGAGATCCGCGAAGGGAGCCAACCACCTGGAAGAAGTCGTCTTCAATCAAATCTTTGCACTTTGCCTTGCACAGGCTTGGATCAAATTTCGAGAGAAGGTGGGTTTCTTAAACGCTATTGTCGTCCTGAAGCGGACCAGGGATCAATTTCTGAGTTACTCTTGGCTAGAGAAGGAGAACAAATGAACTTCGGATTACGAGTAAAGCAACTCCATCTCACTTCGAAATAAGCGCTCGAAGGACATAGTCACTGTACTGTAAACTGCTCTTCTGTACGAAAGCAGAGTTCGAATTATCCAGCGGGTGCACTTTTCGTACTTCGAATTATGCATTCGAATTTAACTTGAAGTGACTTGCAGAAGATCGGTACGACGAAAAAGTTCGAATTACACGGAATGCTCGAATTATACCGTATTCGAATTAGAGGGAGTCTACCTGTACAAGAACTTGGAATGACTTCGGGAGGAGTAGAAAGGAGAACTTCGGGTGCATGATCTGGAAATCAAAAAGCAAAAAGTTGCACAAACTTGTTTCGAGAGCAAAGCACAAAACCAGTGAAGTTAGGACTTCTGCAAGTTGCGTTTCTCATTTTGTTCCTTGCGCCGCTCTATATCAACATATCGGAGACGTTATGAGTCTCCGACATGTTGACAGGGTGCATGGGGAACTCTGCTCGGTTTTGGCCCACGGCTGATTCAGTTGGCATGACTTTTCTGGAAATCATAAGTAATACCATACAAGACATGTACTACAAATCTGCGGACGTATGAACTTGGCCAGATTTCACTATACAGTAAAACCTGGTGCAAGCGACCTCTGCTTTTAGCCACCATCTGCTTTTAACGAGCATTTTTCCATGCATGGACAGTTCTACAAGGAAACTGCACCTGCCTTGCGGGACCAGTGACCATCTTTTAGTGTACCAAATGCCATATTGGACCTGCACACAGCGACCAAAAAATGCCAGACCCACCAGGATGCAAACCCAAAAGAAAATACTGTCTTGGACATGGAAATCCAGTCGCATGAGCGGGACCGGCGCTCTCAGTGAGTACAAAACGTTGCATGCAGTGCACATGTTGATCCGATATGACCAGCGCACTGCATGTGAGCACCGTAGACTAGGCGTACCGAATCAAGGCTACGTGGACAGCGCCCAGGGGCCGCTAGACGTGCTACCGTATTTCCATGTCCTGGGCAGTACCAGAAAAGTAGTACCATATGAACAAACTGTTGAATTCCACTCTGCATTGTTTTGCTTTGATTTACAATTGTGATTGTGATCTACAATAAGACTTCCCAAGAACTTTTTTCCTGTACTGTTGTTTCTTGCATGTGCTTCCAGCGTGGCAACACTCCGTTGCACAATGCCGCCATGAGAGGTACATTCGAGGTGTGTCAAGCGTTGCTCGCTGCAGGGGCGGACTGTAACATCAATGATGCGGTAAAGAACCGGATTTAGAGTGTCATGAACCATGCTGATCCTGTTCTGCTTTACACTGTAAAATTAACTGCTTCCAGCATGGCAACACTCCGTTGCACCATGCTGCCTGGGCAGAAAAAATCGATGTGTGCCAGCGCTGCTCGCTGCAGGGGCGGACTGTGACATCAAGAATGCGGTCATGACAGTATAATAGGGTGTCATGAACCATGATGATTATGGTCTGTGCTAACAATGTACCATCGAGAAAATACAACTCATGTGTTCCACAGACCCTCACAAAATTGGAATCCTTGCATGTAGGAGCAATTTTCAATCTACTGCCTCCTCAACACTGCAATGTGGGCAGATCTTTGCCCCAGGGTGTTGTGTCTATTTTGTTTTAATTGGCCTCACTCCCGTTGCGTACTAGATGTGCAAGATTGGCATATTCTTGAGAGACGCCATCACGCCAGAATCTTTCACCTGAGCAGGTGCAGGCGGTACAGTATTATGTTCCATTCATTACACGTATTAGCTGCTAGTATGTCGAAGTACAGGTAGACTCCGTCTAATTCGAACCTCAAATTGCCAGGCACTATATTCGAATTATCCGGAACATCTAATTATCCAAAATGCAGTCCCATGTACTGATATGTATGTCAAAATGCTCGAAATTTCGTGCTGGCTATTTTTTTCACATTTTATTTGCAACAACGAAACATAGGTGGTCATGAACAACGAAATCAGGTCATTTCACCAACACTGGATTGACATGAAGTCATTGGACATTATTTTCATTATCTACGAAGTTCTAGTGAAGCAGTTTTCAATCGCTGCCGTTGTCCTGAAGCGGTTTCAACGCAAAAGAAGAGCGCTGCCTTCTCTGCGTCATGAAAGCCCGTCGGAGAGCAGCACGTCGTTCTGAAGAACAGAAGTGGAGCATAGGCATAGACAATGTTTACGACTTCCAGTTGTTGTTCAGTCCTAAACTTCTTTGCGCATGAGCTGGCGCGGCATGACAAGCCTTTGAGATCCGCGAAGAGAGCCAACCACCTGGAAGAAGTCGTCTTCAATCAAATCTTTGCACTTTGCCTTGCACAGGCTTGGATCAAATTTCGAGAGAAGGTGGGTTTCTTCAACGCTATTGTTGACCCTGGAGCGGACCAGGGATCAATTTTTTGGAGTTACTCTTTTGGCTAGAGAAGAAGAAAATGAACTTCGAATTATAAGTAGAGCAACTCCATCTCACTTCGAAATAAGCGCTCGAAGGACATAGTCACTGTACTGTAAACTGCTCTTCTGTACGAAGGCAGAGTTCGAATTATCCAGCGGGTGCACTTTTCGTACTTCGAATTATGCACTCGAATTTAACTTGAAGTGACTTGCAGAAGATCGGTGCGACGAAAAAGTTCGAATTACACCGAACGCTCGAATTATACCATATTCTAATTAGAGGGAGTCTACCTGTACAAGAACTTGGAATGACTTCGGGAGGAGTAGAAAGGAGAACTTCGGGTGCATGATCTGGAAACCGAAAAGCAAAAAGTTGCACAAACTTGTTTCGAGAGCAAAGCACAAAACCAGGGAAGTTAGGGAGCATCTCATAAGTTCGCATTTATTTTGCAAACATAACGCATTTCGAATAGACTTTACCCCCCCCCCCACCTCCCCCCTCTATTCGAAAGTCTTATCGCACATTCTCTGTGTTTATCTGCTGTACACGTCCATGCGGCCCCATGCTATGGTATGCTTATGTACATGATTGTACATGTACATGTACATGGATATGAATGTTTTGCTAGAGCGGTCGTGAAGTGCATACAGTAGTACCGCATTTACTGAGTACAAGTACAATCAATGACATGTACACGCACATAAACATACAGTAGTTCCTCCACAACAACTGTACTGCTGTAAACGCTGGCCAGGCACATGTACACGGTTTGATCAGGCTGGTGTGACATTTGACACCTCTGAGTAGCCTGCATGTATGTAGTGCAAAGGTTAGCTGATCTGCAAACACAGGTAGATCTCCACCAAAACACACTCATTTGCTGCAGGGATCTAGCACGGTAGTAGATTGTACAGTTCCAGAAAATGTGCGAACAGTCATTTTTCTATTCGAAAAGGGCGCTACCCCCCTACCCCCGTTTCGAAATGCGTTATGTTTAGAAACAAAATGCGAACTTATGAGATGCTCCCTCAGGACTTCTGCAAGTTGCCTTTCTCATTTTGTTCCTTGCGCTGCTCTATATCAACATGTTAGAGATGTTATGAGTATCCGACATGTTGACAGGGTGCATGGGCAACTCTGCTCGGTTTTGGCCCGCGGCTGATTCAGTTGACGTGACTTTTCTGTAAATCATAAGTAATACCATACTAGACATGTACTACAAATCTGTGGACGTATGAACTTGGCCAGGTTTCACTATACAGTAAAACCTGGTGTAAGCGACCTCTGCTTTTAGCCACCATCTGCTTTTAACCAGCATTTTTCCATGCATGGACAGTTCTACAAGAAAACTGTACCTGCCTTGCGTGACTAGCGACCGTCTAATAGTGTACCAAATGCCATATTGGACCTGCACACAGCGACCAAAAAAATGCCAGACCCACCAGGATGCAAACCCAATGAAAATACTGTCTTGGACATGGAAATCCAGTCGAATGACCGGGACTGGCGCTCTCAATGTGTACAGAACGTTGCATGCAGTGCACATGTTGATCCGATATGACCAGTGCACTGCATGTGTTTACCGTAGACTACGCATACCGAATCAAGGCTGCATGGAAAGCGCCCAGGGGCCACTAGACGTGCAACCGGATTTCCATGTCCACGGCAGTACCAGACAAGTAGTACCATATCAACCAACTGTTGAATTCCACTCTGCATTGTTTTGCTTCCATCCACAATTGTGATTGCGATCTACACTCCATCCATTACACGTATTAGCTGCTAGTATGTCGAAGTACAGGTAGACTCCGTCTAATTCGAACCTCAAATTGCCAGGCACCAAATTCGAATTATCCAGAACTTCTAATTATCCCAAATGCAGTCCCATGTACTGATATGTATGTCAAAATGCTCGAAATTGCGTGCTCATTATTTTTGCACATAATTATTATTTGCAACAACGAAACATAGGTGGTAAGGAACAACGAAATCAGGTCATTTCACCAAAACACTGGATCGACATGAAGTCATTGGACATTATTTTCATCTTCTACGAAGTTCTAGTGAAGCAGTTTTCAATCGGTGCCGTTGTCCTGAAACGATTTCAATGCAAAAGGAGAGCACTGCCTTCTCTGCGTCATGAAAGCCCGTCGGAGAGCAGCACGTCGTTCTGCAGAACAGAAGTGGAGCATAGGCATAGACAATGTTTACGACTTCCAGTTTTAGTTCAGTCCTAAACTTCTTTGCGCATGAGCTGGCGCGGCATGACAAGCCATCGAGATCCGCGAAGAGAGCCAACCACCTGGAAGAAGTCGTCTTCAATCCAATCTTTGCACTTTGCTTTGCAGAGGCTTGGATCAAATTTCGAGAGAAGGTGGGTTTCTTCAACGCTATTGTCGATCCTGGAGCGGACCAGGGATCAATTTTTGAGTTACCCTTGGCTAGAAAAGAAGAAAAAATGAACTTCGAATTACGAGAGTAGCAACTCCATCTCACTTCGAAATAAGCGCTCGAAGGAAATAGTCACTGTACTGTAAACTGTTCTTCTGTACGAAGACAGAGTTCGAATTATCCAGCGGGTGCACTTTTCGTACTTCGAATTATGCATTCGAATTTAACTTGAAGTGACTTGCAGAAGATCGGTGCGACGAAAAAGTTCAAATTACATGGAATGTTCGAATTATTCCGAATTCGAATTAGAGGGAGTCTACCTGTACAAGAACTTGGAATGACTTCGAGAAGAGCAGAAACAAGAACTTCGGGTGCATGATCCGGAAACCGAAAAGCAAAAAGTTGCACAAACTTGTTTCGAGAGCAAAGCATAAAAGCAGGGAAGTTAAAACTTCTGCAAGTTGCGTTACTCATTTAAGTCATTTTGTTCCTTGCGCCGCTCTATATCAACATATCGGAGACGTTATGAGTCTCCGACATGTTGACAGGGTGCATGGGCAACTCTGCTCGGTTTTGGCCCACGGCTGATTCAGTTGACATGACTTTTCTGGAAATCATAAGTAATACCATACTAGACATGTACTACAAATCTGTGGACGGATGAACTTGGCCAGATTTCACTCTACAGTAAAACCTGGTGTAAGCGACCTCTGCTTTTAGCCACCATCTGCTTTTAACCAGCATTTTTCCATCCACGGACAGTTCTAAAAGGAAACTGCACCTGCCTTGCGTGACTAGCGACCGTTTAATAGTGTACCAAATGCCATATAGGACCTGCACACAGCGACCAACAAAATGCCAGACCCATCAGGACGCAAACCCGGGACCTTGCTTGTTATGAGCAATGCTCTAAACATCTCTTGAAACTAGTTGCCATTTCTCACTTCCCTCCTGTGCGTTTGCTGCTTATCGTGTTCTTGTTTGTATTCAATTTGTTTTGTCAATTTTCTTTAACGTATTTTGGGAACACAGCCCCATGCTGTGTGAACAGTCGTGTTGAGAAAACAATGCTCTAAATATGTGAGCTATGGGACCAGGTCGAACCCAGAAGGTGCTGACAAGTGTTTCACTCCAAATGCAGCTCACAACACATGCCTCACATGCTGATGGCGCTTGGGTTTTTTCCCTCTCCCGGGGGACCAACCACGGTCAGTTTTCTGGAACGTACTACGAGAGGTGAAAGGAAGTGTTTTGTGAGCCTTGCTCATGAAAAACAATGTCCCGGAATTGAGCCCTGATGGGTCTGGCATTTTTATCTCCTTTCAGGCAGTTCACTTCCCTGTCTGATCCTTTGAAATCCCTTTCAGTGCCAGGCCAGATGCACGCGGTTTGCGGGGCCATTTTTTTGTAATTAGTCGTATTAACTCAAACCAACTTGTTGTCCTGCGCTGGCGTAGCTTGTGCTGCTGCGCCCTGCTCAAACTCGACATCGACACCTCCGATATCCTCAGGGCCGTCCAAGGCGACCACGGCAGTAGGTACGACATTGACCACGGCGAACTTGGTTGCGAAATTTGTCACGATCGCGGACGGCTGCATCCGCATTCGAGTCATCGCCTTCACTATCGCAGCTCCATTCATCACTGTCCGAGTCCATGATGGACTGGAGCACCTCTTCAGCCGACATGAAAGGTGGTTCTTGACCAGGGAGTTGTACGACTCCTTGTTCTTGACCTGCCCGGTACGCGAACCCCGTCGAATTTATTTATTTATTTTTTTAAGACAGTAACATTGCATGAGGTATGTACTACGAATGTGCAGCCGCGTGAATAGGCTGGGTTTCACTGAACCTGCATTAGGAGTACGATATCAAATTATACTTGGAGGATAAAAGGCAAAAAAATCCTTTTTGAAAGTGTCAGAAGCACAAACTCCAAAATTGCCGCTCAATCACCCGGGAGGGATCAGATTAAGGCAGCGATACAATTCCTTTCACCGGAATGCGACTTAAAGCGCAAAACTGGTACCATGGACCAGTTCCGATCACATCACTGCACTTGCATATGTGTACGTCTAGCTGCATTCGTACCGCATCATGGGCGTTGATCCAATTTGTACAACGACACAATGATCCGACAATATGAAATACACTCATAACTTGTTTATCCGGGCACTACCCGTAACTTCGAAATGTCCGTAAGTCCGAATCACATACATTTTGACGGGGAATGACCATAAATATGGCATATGTCGTCACTATTTCCAGAAAAATTGCCAAAAGAGTAGTAACATTTCCACTGAAACTCAACCAAATGGTGTCCGGTAGCCTGAAATGCCCGTACCTTCGGGGTCTGGATAACCGAGGTATATACCCTCAAGGTGTGTTAAGCGCTGATCGCTGGAGGGGCCGACTGTAACATCAAGAATGAGGTAAAGCACAGTAACATTGAGTGTTATCAACCAGGATAATCCGGTTCTGTGTTTGCACTGTACAATAAACGTACGATAAATCATGTGTTCCCTGACCTTCACCCGATCGAGTGGAATCCTGTCTTAACCGGAAATGTTCATTTACGGCCTCCTCACGACTATAATGTGTGCAGGCCTTTTCTCCAGGGTGTTGTGTCTATTGTTCTCAAAATCGGTCACGCTCCCATTGCTTGGTATATTCTTGAGAGATGCCATCATACCAGAATCTTTCACCTGAGCGGGTCCAGACTGAATAATGATTACTATGATCCATCCATTACACGTATGAAGGGTTAGTATGTCGAAGTACTAAAACTCGGAACGACTTCGGGAGGAGTCTACAGGTGGACTTCAGGCACATGAGCTGAAAACAGAAAAGCATTTCGAGCTACCAGTGTATTGTATCCTACATTGCTGCAGGCTAGAGCAGCGCAGGCTCCATCCTCGTGAATAGTAGGCTGTGCATACAGAACATCGAGCATTCCAGATGTGAATACAGTTTTTCACTCACATAGCAACCGGGTTGTACATGGGGTAGTGGTCTACCAGAATGTACTCTACGAGGAATACAAGACCACGATGGCAGGTGGGGGAGAGTTGCGCAGTGGAAGAGCAGCAGAGCACGACAGAAAAATGGTGAGTGAAAAATACGTTTTTTACACTCTTTCGCTACGCTCAGCCGTGAAAAAACAACACATTTCCATACAAGAACCCTCACGTAGGGTTTAGGTGCACTAGCGGCACAAACTGGTTTCGCGAGCAAAGAACAGAAGCACGGAAGCTAAGACTTCTGCATGCCTTCCTCCTCCTTTTATTTCTTGCGCCACTTTATATCAACATGCCGGAGACGACGTGAGTGTTATTCCGTTTGCAGGGTGCATGCTAAACTCCGCTTGGTTTGGCCCTGGGTGGATTCAGTTGACAGAAACCTTTCGCCAGATCATTAGACAGTAACACAGTATGAGGTACTGTAGAACGGGTAATTTTAGCAACGTAAAAACCCTAGCGAATTTAGCGATCGACTCATTTTCGCTAAAGTTTCAAGTCCTTAATCCGTTGAGACAAGTAGTGCGCTGGTGATCCGTGAGTAAAATCGCTGCATATCGCAAAACTAAAACGTCGCTAACCCGTTGACAACGGGAAAACGCTAAAATAAAACTAGTCGCTAAATTACCTGTTCTACAGTATGTACTACGAATCTGCAGCAGCGTGAATAGACTGGGCTTCACTGAACCTGCATTACGAGTACGATATTAAATTACACATGCAGAATAAAAGGCAAAAACATCCATTTTGAAAGTGGCAATAGGACAAACTCCAAAATTGCCACTGAATCACCCGGAAGGCATCAGATTAAGGCAGCGACGTACAATTCTCTTCACTGAATTGTGACCTAAAGCACAAAACTGGTACATGTACCATGAACCAGTTCCGATCACATCACTGCACTTTCATATTATGTGTACGTCTAGCCGCATTCATACCACATCCTGGGCGTTGATCCAATTTGTACAACGACACAATGATCTGACAATATGAAATACACTCATAACTTGTTTATCTGGGCACTAGCCGTAACTTCGAAATGTCCGTTACCCCGAATGACATACATTTTGACGGCGAATGGCAATAAGTATGGCGTATGTCGTCACTATTTCCACAAAAATCGCCAAAAGTGTACTATCATTTCCCTGAACCTTGGCCAAAGGTTTCCCGGTAGCCTGAAATGGCCGTAACTTTGGGATCTGGATAACCGAGGTATAAGTGTACATGTATGTCTGTACACCAGGGAGTCGTACTCAAACTAGGGAGGTGACACGGCACAGAAATCCGTGTAACAGGGGTTGACTCGCACCCGTGACCCCTCACTGTTATTTTTGGAATAGTTCAGTCCAGTCCAGTCCGAAAGGTCATACTCGGATCGACTCGCCTTCTGTACTTCACCTCCAAGCGTGCAACGCAAGACCCGCAAAGTATGATTTTTCTGTGGGGAACGATTTTGCCATTGATCAAGTTTTTATTGGAGTGCTCAGGCCTACTACGATTGCTGAGACATCCCGAGCACGCTTGTTCAGGTTCTCTATTTTTGACGAGCCGGTCCTACAGCCCCCTACATTGTATCTAACGACATAGGAGCTGACAATGTAAGAGGATTTTCCTGGAAATATGACTAGATGTACAATGTAGCTCTCTTGTATGGTACTTAACCCCTGCTATAAATGTGTTATTTAGGAAGACTGGTGTATTGTGCAAGTCATAAAGAAGAAATGGGGCAGATACACGACTTACAATTTTCAAAAACCAGCTTCGTGTTATGTGTAATTTGTGTCAAAATTGTAGTTTTTAGACATGACAATATCATTGGCTGTACTTCTATAATATGGTACATAACCCCTGCTATAAATGTGTTATTGAGGCAGACTGGACCATTGTGCAAGTCGTAAAGAAGAAATGGGGCAGATACATGACTTACAATTTTCAAAACCTGGCTTCGTGTTATGTGTAATTTGTGTCAAAATTGTAGTATTTCAACATGACAATATCACTGGCTGTACAGTCAGTATCGCCTATAGCGTTGGTGTTTGATTTTGAGCATTTTATCACTATAAGCGATATATCACTATGGCCGATACTGCATGCAATGTATGCGAGTGGGGTGTCAAACGACTCCGGGCGGCGTGCACATACACACTGCATAGCTGGCTACAGCTCATGTCACACAACATGAGCATTTCCTCACGATGGAGGCATATTTGGCAACTTGTACAAGCAGAACTCACCAAACAACACTGGACAAGTTAGTTCTTCACGAAGAATTAACACCCTGGTCTCCTCTGACACCACTTGATTTTACATCAATCACTATAATCGATGCAAAAATAACGTAACAAAGGTCTTTTGAAAGAAGAATTTGATCACTATAGGCGATATATTACTATAGACGATTATTACTATACGCGATAACTGTGTATACTTAGTTATGGCAAATGAAAATGAATTTGAAAAATTGATCAGTATATCCGGTATTTACTATAGCCGCCAACCTTATAGGCGATACGTACTGTACTTCTCTTATATGGTACTTAACCCCTGCTATAAATGTGTTGTTTAGGAAGACTGGTGTATTGTGCAAGTCATAAAGAAGAAATGGGGCAGATACACGACTTACAATTTTCAAAAACCAGCTTCGTGTTATGTGCAATTTGGGTCAATTTTTAGTATTCGGATTAACCTCGGATACGACTCTGAAAAGTTCTGAACAGTTATCGCAACACTACACGCCGTTTCATAACTGCTGCTGTTGCCATCACTGCTATCAAGTAGTTCGGACATGGCAGGAGCTAACAAAATTGCTGGTAGTCTTTCAAAGAATACTGGCGAGTGATGGGCTGTAAACGAAATGTGCTACCTCAATAATTTCAAAAACTAGACACCCATGCGGCACGCTTGGAGGTGAAGTACAGAAGGCGAGTCGATCCGAGTATGAACTTTTGGACTGGACTGGACTGAACGATTCCAAAAATGACAACGAGGGGTCACGGGTGCGAGTCAACCCCTGTGACACGGATTTCTGTGCCGTGTCACCTCCCTAGTTTGAGTACGACTCCCTGCTGTACACTAATGGCAATCATGCAATGTAAATACCAGACAAGTAGTACCATATCCACCAACTGTTGAATTCCACTCTGAATTGTTTTGCTTTGATCTACAGTTGTGACTGTGTTCCACAATCTAACTCATTGAGAACTTTTTCCTGTACTGTTGTTTCTTGCGTGTGCATCCAGTGTGGCGACACTCCGTTGCACGATGCCGCCACTTTAGGTAAACCCGATGTGTGTCAAGCGCTGCTCGCTGCAGGGGCGGACTGCAACATCAAGAATGAGGTAAAGCACAGTGACATTGAGTGTCATGAACCAGGACGATCATGTTCTGTTTTTGCACTGTACAATTAACGTTCAAACAATCATCTGTTCCTTGACCTTTATCCGAGTGGAATCCTGTCCTAACCCGAAAATTCTCATCTACTGCCTCCTCACCCCATCAATGTGTGCAAGTCTTTGCCCCAGTTTGTTGTGTCTATTGTTCTCAAAATCGGTCACGCTCCCATTGCTTGGTATAGTGTAGAGAATCGCCATCATGCCAGAATCTTTCACCTCAGCAGGTCCCGACAGAACAATAATGTTCCATCCATTACACGTATTAGGGGCTAGTATGTCGAAGTACAAAAACTCAGAACGACTTAGGGAGGAGTATGCAGGTGAACTTCAGGCACATGAGCTGAAAACAGAAAAGTATTCCGAGCTACATGTATATTGTATCTTACATTGCCACAGGCTAGTGCAGCACAGACTCCATCCTCGTGGATAGTAGCAAGAGTGCATAAACAAGAGTATGCAACTGTGGTTATGGGTCAGTGCGCGGCTCTCTGCCTTTATTACGTAACTTACCTTCACCACGCTCTGAAAGTATGCACTCAAACTCAAACAGTGAGCAAGTACGGTTGTGTGTGTTGAAATCCGAACTACTGTAAATATACAAAATTTCGGCGCTGCAAAATTTCGGCACTTCATGATTTTTGACATTTCGGCGGCGATTTATTTTCGGCGTGGGGTAGAGGGCATGGTATAGTGCGACAGATGCGGTGAAAAATTTCATCGGCGTTTTAATTTAGGCGTTTTGGGTCGGTGCCGAATATAGCCGAAATTAAATAGCTGCCGAGAATTTGTATATTTACAGTAATAAAGTGCAAAGCTGTCACCCTGGCCCAGTTCGGATTACATCGCTGCACTTGCATTATGTGCACGTCTAGCCACATTCCTACCACATCCTGGGCATTGATCCAATTTGTATAGCACCACACTGATAAGAAAATATGACATACATGTATGTCTGTACACTAATGACAATCATGCAATGAAAATACTGTCTTGTCTTGGACATGGAAATCCAGGAGAATGACCGGGACCGGCGCCCTTAGTGTACAGAACGTTACATGAAGTGCACATGTTGATCCGATATGACCAGCGCACTGCATGTGTGTACCGTAGACTACGCATACCGAGCCAAGGCTACGTGGACAGTGCCCAGGGGCCGCTAGACATGCGACCGGAATTCCATGTCCACGGCAGTACCAGACAAGTAGTACCATATGAACAAACTGTTGAATTCCACTCTGCATTGTTTTGCTTTGATTGACAATTGTGACTGTGATCTATACTTAGACTTCTCAAGAACTTTTTCCTGTACTGTTGTTTCTTGCATGTGCTTCCAGCGTGGCGACACTCCGTTGCACAAAGCCATCTGGGGTGGAATCGAGGTGTGTCAAGCACTGCTCGCTGCAGGGTCGGACTTCAACATCAGGAATGGGGTAAAGAACAGTATTTAGAGTGTCATGAACCATGCTGATCCTGTTCTGTTTTTACACTCTAAAATTAACGTTCCCCTGAACTTTTAGTTTACCCAAGTGGAATCCTGTCATAACCGAAAAATTGTTCATCTACTGCCTGCTCACAACTGTAGTGTTCGCAGATCTTTGCCCTAGGGTGTTGTGTAACTTTTCTTTAAAATCGGCCACATCACCTATTGGTGTCGGGGTCCCAACGCATCCCAACACTCAACAGAATACTATCAGTTATAGTTACATTACAATCATTATAATTATTACTAAAACGGAAAGGTGCTTGGAAGTTTGCCACTTCTGTACACATATCCCGCTTCTGTGTGTGCACTAAGTTACATCTACTGAGCTTCGTATACTGTAAGACATTTCATTACAACGAGTCCCAAATTTAACCATTGTCCAAAATTCATAGGTTAACAAGAAGATATGTTAACAATCTTGCAGTATTCTGCCATATCCACACACAGCATATATGAAGCAGTACAGCCTGAACGGATCTTATTATAACGAAGAAATGTCATCCGTTAAAACGTTAGATTTGCTTCCTCGTTATATATACATGTCTTACAGTACACACTCTTTCGGCACAGGTCGTCTTGCTTGCGCATTGTTCAGAGCTACTAGGCTTTTTCTTTGGTACTTTGCATGTAAATACCGAAAACAGGGCCAATGACAACACCTGAAACTCCAGGTCTCTGGCCACTGTGGTCCTTTGATATTTTGGAAATGGTTGCCAAGACTATTTTATAACCACAGGGTAACAGAATTGATACATTCTCCAAAAAGAGGAACGCAGCACAGTAAGGGATGCAATCTTGCTCAAACTGCGTGAAATACTCAAAATTCATGCAATTGCAGCTGAAAGGAGTCATGTCGTGACCTGAACACAATTTGTATCCACGAATGGAAGTTAGTTAGTTAACTTTCTTTCACTTCTGGTAGCACATTCTAGACCTGACCTCGGTTGGTCCCCTGACGACAGGAAAAGACCCAAGAGTCATCAGTATGTGTGACACGTGTTGTGAGCTGCCTTCGGAGTGAAAAACTTGTCAGCGCCTTCTGTTTTCGGCCTGGTCCAATAGCTGGGATGGTTAGAGCATTGCCCACAACAATCAAGTTCTCGGGTTTGAGTCCTGGTGTGTCTGGCACTTCTAAGCTTTCGAGGCAGTTCACTCCCTCGACTGATCCTTTGAAATTTGAAGTTTTCCAATCTTATAAAAAAAATTGAAAGCTATAAAACGCAAGCCATAAAATTGCTGCTGAATCATCCGGGAGTTATCAGATTAAGGCAGTGACCAAGCACAATTATCTTCACTTAAATGCGACATAAAGCGCAAAACGGCTACCATGGACCAGTTCCGAGCACATCACTGCACTTGCATATGTGTACCTCTAGCCACATTTTTACCACATCCTGGGTGTTCATCCAAATTGTACAACGACACAATGATCCGCCAAGATGAAATACACTCATAACTTGTTTATCCGGGCGATCTAGGACTGGGCACTGTCCGTAACTTCGAAATGTCCGTTACTCCGAATGACATACATTTTGACGGGGAATGGCCATAGATAATATGGCATATGTCGCCACTATTTCCACAAAAATTGCCAAAAGAGTAGTAACATTTACACTGAAACTCTCCCCAAGTTTGTCCGGTAGCCTGAAATTCCCGTAACTTTGGGGTCTGGATAACCGATGTATAAGTGTACATGCGGGCCAGGTCCCTCCGTTCAGACGAGGTTGACGTGGCAGTCGTAGTGAGCCGAGTCACCTCAGAATGCCATGCAGCCATAGCCTTGTCGTAGTTGAAGTCAGCGACGGCAGGAACGTCGAGCTTGATTGCCATGATCATCTCCAGATTCCTCGTCGACAGCGAGTTCCGCATCGCCGTCTTCACAAGCTGAAGTCTCGCTCGCATTCAGCAGTGGACAGGCAAACGGCCAATCCCCAATCAGCGATGCGAGCCAGGTTCGGGTAGTCTCCAGCATGTTGCTCGGCGAGAATCTCGAACATCTGCTGGACGCCTTTCGAGGCCCGGAGGCTCGGGTTCGGGTTCGGGTGGGTGAGACTAAACGATTAATTGAACGGATGTCGAAACCTAGGATGGAGCCGAGCAGCATGCCGATATTTCGAAGCAGTGATTTCTTACCTTTCAACCACGCATCGCGACCAAATCCACCGCCGCTCGTCTTCCTTTGGAAATGCGTCTTGCACAAAGCGCATGACACGGATAGGCTGGCATGGTCCTAGTCCAGCCAGGGTCGACCTTTCTTCCAAGAGTCATGGAAAGCGTGAGTTCTTTTTCTCTTCGCTGCGGGCTCCATCGTCCAAATCACCAGTCGGCTGAAAATTTGCAACTGTGTCAAAAGCTTTAGCCAAAGTTACACTTTTGACTGCCTGAAACATCGACTTTGAATGTCCTGACTTCCTGCTCGCCGCTGGCCAGATCGCCCTCGAACCAGTTGACAACAGTTGACCCTAGTCCCCAGCAAAGTTTCTGTCGTTTGTAGACTGTAGTGTGTACGGTTGCGCTAGATTTGCAACAGATGGGGTCCGCGAGTTGTAAAATACCGGTATTTTAGGAATCCATTGTCAGTTTGAGACATTTTTCAGCCGGGTCAGACTGGACCCGGTGTTATCTGTTCAGCCAGATCGTGCAGTTTCCAGACCCGGCTCTCCAGCAGGCCCTGGTATGAAGGGTTAGTATGTCGAAGTACTAAAACTCGGAACAACTTCGGGAGGAGTCTACAGGTTGACTTCAGGCGCATGAGCTGAAAACAGAAAAGTATTTTCGAGCTACATGTATATTATATTCTACATTGCTGCAGGCTAGACATTGCTGCAGCGCAGGCTCCATCCTCGTGAATAGCAGGCTGTGCATACAGAACATCGAGCATTCCAGGTGTGAATACAGGATTTCCATACAAGAACCCTTACGTAGGGTTTAGGTGCACTAGCTGCACAAACTGGTTTCGCGAGCAAAGAACAGAAGCATGCAAGCTAAGACTTCTGCATGCCTTCCTCCTCCTTTATTTCTTGCGCCACTTGATATCAACATGTCGGACACGACGTGACTGCCCTTAAATTTGCAGAGTGCATGCTTAACTCCGCTTGGTTTGGCCCTCGGCGGATTCAGTTGACGGCAGCTTTTTTCCCCATCATAAGACAGTAACACTGTATGAGGTATGTACTACGAATGTGCAGCCTCGTGAATAGGCTGGGTTTCACTGAACCTGCATTAGGAGTACGATATCAAATTATACATGGAGGATAAAATTCAAAACAATCCATTTTGAAAGTGTCAGAAGCACAAACTCCAAAATTGCCGCTGAATCACCCGGGTGGGATCAGATTAAGGCAGCGACGGACTGCAACATCAAGAATGAGGTAAAGCACAGTGCCATTGAGTGTCGTGAACCAGCATGATCATGTTCTTCGCCTGCACTGTACAATTAACGTACAAACAATCATGTTTTCCCTGACCATAAGCCGAGTGGATTCCTGTCATCACTGGAAAATTTTCATTTACGGCCTCCTCACCCAATCAATGTGTGCAGGTCTTTGCCCCAGGGTGTTGTGTCTATTTTTCTAAAAATCAGTCACGCTCCCATTGCTTGGTACATTTTCGAGGAACGCCATCATGCCGGAATCTTTCACCTGCGCAGGTCCAGACGGACCAATAATTATGTTCCATCCATTACACGTATGAGGGGCAAGCATGTCGAAGTAGAAAAACTTGGAACAACTTCGGGATTCCTATACAGGTGAACTTCAGGCACATGAGCTGGAAAAGGAAAAGTATTTCGAGCTACATGTATATTGTATCTTACATTGCTACAGGCTAGTGCAGCGCAGGCTCCATCCTCGTTAGTAGTAGGCGGTGCATACAGGACCTCGATCATTCCAGATGTGGATACAGGATTTCCATACATGAACCCTCACGTCAGGTTTAGGTGCACTAGCTGCACAGACTGGTTTCGCGAGCAAAGAACAGAAGCACGGAAGCTAAGACGTCTGCATGCCTTCCTCCTCCTTTTATTTCTTGTTTCAATAGCAACAGTAACACCGTATGAGGTATGTACTACGAATGTGCTGCTGCGTGAATAGGCTGGGTTTCACTGAACCTGCATTACGAGTACGATATCAAATTACACATGCAGGATAAAAGGCAAAAACATCCATTTTGAAAGTGGCAAAAACACAAACTCCAAAACTGCTGCTGAATCACCCGGGAGAGATCAGATTAAGGCAGTGACCAAGTACAGTTGTGAGTATCGAAATCCGGCCTAAAGTGCAAAGTTGACACCCTCGACCAGTTCTAATTGCATCACTGCATTTGCACATGTGTATGTCCAGTTGCATTTGTATCACATCCTGGGCGTCTAGGGCTGTGCGAGTTCATGGCACCAAATATGCACTTTGGGTGGGATTTCACGGAGCACAACTGCACAAGTACCTGTATGACATGATGTATAATATTATATTGATAGGTGTGTTATGTGTATATTGCAACTCTCTTGTGTTTAGGATGGCCTGACACCACTGGACAGAGCGAGATACTGGAAACGTCATGCGGTTGTAGCGCTATTGGAGAAGGCCACCCCATAGACATCATGAGACCTTTACTAATTGTAAAGTGACTATGCACACACTGCGGGTCATTTCCTGCCAGTTGAAGCAACATGGCAGCTATCTTTCTTTGGTGGATCCAGAGCTTTAATCGTCACATATACATGACTTTGTATGTATTTGAGCAATGGGCAGGTAAGACTGCAGTGTTGTCTTGCTGTCCCTGCCCACAATGCCAGTGCATGATACCATACATTTCTAGACATGATAGCTTCCATTTCCTCTTCCCTTCCAAGTATCTGTTGCAGATCGTCTTGCACTCCATGCAGATCCTTACTAGAAGTTACAATGTTTGAATAGAAAATTGTACAATGTCGTCACAGTAGTGCTTTGCTAGCATTATAATTATTAGAATCAACTGACATACTATCGTCAGTGGATGTATTTTCAACACGTTTCTCCTTTTTTAATTTTTTTATCAATTTGTCTTTTCAAGTCGTTTGGCTAGACTATTCCGTACATTAGCGGGCTTCGTGATTTCCGTTGGAAACAGACATCGTTTTTTTCCCGCAATCGGTATGGAGACAAAAACTTGATACCAGAGAGTAATAAAATACCGGTGTTTTACTACTCCCTGCTTGATGCAAGTTCGGTATTTACACTGACTTGTTCTGATGTACATGTACATCCATGTATATCAACTGTCAACCTTCTTGCTGTGAATACATTCTGCAATGCTCATTACATGGATTTAATTGTTGCCTCTGCACCACATATTGTAGCTTTCACTGATTTGTACTTGCAGTAATTGCTATGATTGGTGATTTCTTGAGTCAATTTGACGCCCTGTGTTGTGCACATCCAGTAGTTCGCCCCTTCATTCTCATAAATAGCAGGCAGGCATAGTGGGATGGTCTAGGACCATGATTGAGAAACAGAGGCCCGGGTACCAGGTTCAAGTCCTGCTTTGAAGAGGAAGGATTTTTTCCAACCGTGTTGCGACCCACAGTTGGTTGGGAACTCGTGGCCTGGACCGAGGGAAGCATAGATGCAGCGAATGTGATTCTCGATCTTTGGCCACTTTGGTGGTGGATCTTATCTGCTCGCCTCCCACCGCATTAGAAATTGCATCTGCTCGTTGATCTGTAGGGGTGTTGGCGTCCCAGTGGATGCTGAAAATTCGGTCTCCAGCAGAGTCTAATGCGAACCGTGATAATATTTTTTTTAAATTTTTTCTATCACACTTACCCGTGTACAACTGCGCATGAGGAAGCGAAACAGCTGTCCGAAGATTTTTCCAACTATGGAAACCTAATGAGATAGTATCCTCTGTGGTCACGTGATGTGCATGTGCTGGTTGGGTTGCTGTCCCATTGGACTACATTTTTACGGTTCTCGTAGAGACTCGGCTAACCCAAGTTTTCCGCATCTGCATGAAAGCCACCAACGTCAAGGATCGAGGTGAATATTCAGCTCCTAAAGCGGTGGGAGGTAAGTGGATCAAACCCAGCACCCAAGGGGTCAAAGACCCAAACATCTCATTCGGTGCATCTATGTTTCCCGTGTGCCAGGTCACGTGTTTCCATTTTAAGATTGAGCCGCAACACGGCTGTAAATACACTTTCGCTTCCAAGCAGGATTTAAACCTTGTACGAGACGTACCCTCTTTTTATCGGGTGTTAGCGGCCGTCGTGAGTTCCCTTCGGGAACGGATACGATAATTTACTCTTTTTTACCCTCTTTTTCTCAGCTTATCAATCTTGGTCATTAAAGACCATCCTACCATGCCTACCTTTGCTATGATACGGACAAAAATTCTAAATTCCGCTCTAAATCCTACGGGGAAAGGGACTAGACTATTCTATGACATCATCTGACAAGTGCATGACTGTATAGCGTGTAGATGACTAGTATGAGGCCCCTACTGCCAGTTTTCACCATCCATATTGAGGAATTCTACACGTAGAAATACGTTTCATTCGTCGCCAACACAAACAAAGGAGACTTGGAAAGACCTGTGCTCAACTGCACTGGCAATAGGGCTTGAAAGTGCTACGTCACAGCATAGCAACAATTTCAAAAATTCAAAAACTCGATCCACTTGGATCCAGTTTTTGTATGGATCCAAGCACATTTCAAGCTGTTTACCCACAGCATGGTGATGTAGCCAGTGAAACTGACTGATTTGGCTACTGAGGGCGAGGTTACAACTGGTGGCAACATAAAAGTCACACCTGCATGCTACATGAGTGGGTTGCTATGCACCCACATACTTAGGCAATAGCAAAGTCACACCTTAGTGGATCCAAAAATAGAAATCTCCTGTCAACTTACTACTCCCTGACCGTTTTGACGTCATCACTTTCAAGCCCTATAGGAGCATGCTCAACAAGTAAGTAAAAAGTAAGTTATCGTGTCCGTTCCCGAAGAGAACTCACGACGGCCGCTAACACCCGGCAAACCCTTGCGGAATATGCAGCGCCTAACGGTGGGGTTGAGTGGATAAGTCTCATAAGCACTGGCACAATTGCCGAGAAACCCCAATAGCTCCATCCATGTACCCCTTGTGCCTGGCCACAAGTTCTAGGCCTTGACGGATTATGCTAGCATAATTTTTCGCATAATTCCTACCAAAATCGAATAATGGCATAATTCGAGGCAAATTGCATACGAATCGCATAAATTGGAATAATCCGCCTGTTCGCATCAAATTCCATACAGCTGTACAGTGTTCTACAAGTACACGTACAAGTAGATGCACTAGGAAGTCGTAGGTGTACGACTACCTTGATAACATATCCAGTCCACTACAATCAGTGACGGTCGTAGCTAGGTCACACGGTGCGTTGACCCCGTTGAACTTTTGCTACAACAGTACAGCGCCCTCTACAAAAAATTCCCCTGTTATTTTGCACAGAACCATCATACATTAGCAGCATATGTGAGCATAATGCGGCATAATATGATAACTTTTAGCATAAAAATAGCATAATTTTGCAATTTTTTCAGCAATGCGAAAAGCATAATTGAACGAAAATACTAGCATAATCCGTCAAGGCCTACCTAACAAGTTCCCAGTTGACTGTGGGTAGCAGCACGGCTGGAAAAATCGCTCCCAGGCAGGACTTAACCCAGGTACCTCTCGTATCTCAATCATGGTCTTTGACCTACCCACTGTGCCAGCCTGGTTCAATAGGCTTTCCCCAAATCGGTCCTTTTTTTCGCCTATTCGGTTTTTCGCGCGGCTCAAGAATACATCAGATTCGGCTGCAAAATCAGCTGATTGTTCGAAAATCGGCTGCAAAATTGGAATGTATTGGAAAATCGGCTGAAGGAATTGTTGGCATATTGGTTTCAGAATTGGTGAGATCTTCGAAATACAACTCTGCTCTGATTTACTGGCCACAACTGTACGCTGTAGTGTAATACTTTACTAGTAACAATCTTCCTAATGGCAATGTTTATTTGAGAAGAGGTCAAAGGACACGAGTCACACGACCTCAACGCACTAGGACTACAAGCACTGAAGTAGAGAGCTCAAGCGGCCATGCTTGCAGCAACCTCATTCGTTCGTAAACGCACTTTGGAACAATAATTATTTGGTAGATTATCGGCGAATCTCAAGGGAACCTTCCAAAATGGTCGGAAAGCCTAATGCTAAAATAGATCGCAAATTAGCTTTCCTACTGCCGTCAGCGTAAACCTTTGAATACCGTACTCACGCGGTTAGTGCCCCTGGGGCACTGCTTTTTCAATGTCCATTACAGATGGGGCACTGTTAAAGAGAGGGCACTATTTGTTTGTGCAATGGTGGTAAATTTACGTGGTGAGTCTGGTGACATAAAAGGAAAGAAGGCAGAGAAAACCAGAGAGTACAATGTAAAGTTTGCTGTAAACTATCACGACTGAGTCACTCAGCAGAAACGGCGAGAAGAACTGCGATTTTGATGCTGAAACCACCAGTGCAGTTACATAGACAAGAAAAAGCAAAAGAACACGAAACTAAACACGCACTTGGTTACAAGCTTGGGGGAGGGGGGGGGCACTAGGCAAGAGAAGGCTTTATTGCTCACTGGCTCTTAGAGACTGGAGCACTATTCGAGATAGGGCACTATTCAAAAGAGTACGGTACAGCTGGAGATCTGTTATAGCGTTGGTGTTTGAAGAAGTGTTATTTGATCACTATAGACAATAATATTATCACTATAATATAGTGATAATATTATTGTCTATAGTGATCAAATAACACTTCTTCAATGGTATATTATACCATTGGACAAAGTAGTACTTCAAAGTATGTAAGTGATAACTTTGCAACTTAGTCATGAATACTTCAAGTATATACACAAAGAGACGTGCATCATGGATGTAAATACCATACCAAGACTTGTAAAGTACAAAATTAATAACAACAACTTGCACCTACTCTATGACCACAACGCTGGCAGTACACAACATTTACACAATCTCAGTTTCCCAAAGCTTCCTGTAGGTACCATTAGTTACTATAAACGATCCATAATGTATGCAATTGAGTGGTTTCGAAATGAGAATATTTTGTTTGTTTTGTTATAGTTTTTCTCCTTTTGAGAATTTTATCACAGTACAGTAAAACCTGTCTAAGACAAGGGACTCAAGGGACCTTCAAATCCTGGTCTCCGTTACCAGGTGGTCTCCTTATCCACGGTCATTTGACTGGAAATAGTCTCCCTTTCTCCCGGTTACAGTGGTCTTCCAGGACAGGTGGTCGCCTTTTCCGAGTGGTCACCTTGACAGGTTTTACTACTAGTAGCCGATATATTGCTTTTGCCGATTACTTCACTCTTATAACCGGTTTAGTTTGAGTGGAAAAGAAACTTTTGCTTTTGAATTTTGAAGCTGATAACATTATAACCAGTATATCACTTTAAATTATACTTATAAAAACCTCCATTGATTGTCGTGTAGGGTTAGAAGTTTCTATACTTCATACACACCTGTATAAAAAACCTGTATAAAAAACCTGGTGGCTATAAAAAACCTGTATAAAAAACCTGCCGGCTAGAAAAAACCTGTATAAAAAACCTGCCGGCTAGAAAAAACCTGTATAAAAAACCTACCGGCTATAAAAAACCTGTATAAAAAACCTCTTTTTAGGGGTAGATGAGAACAAGAGATAAGAGTATTCAAGAAAACAGTACAAACAGATGCAGAGCAAGATCAGAAGAGCACAAATTGAACTGGAAAGGTTAAATAGTCCGCTCAAGAATGGTAAGATGAGAGACACATACATATGATCAAAAGGAGAGTATTGAGCTACTCACTCCTCGTCATGGGTCCATTGTCGTCATCCCATCAGCAACATATTCTTTGCTGAGCAGCCAATCGCCATCAGACAAACTCTCCTTGTGGCATACAGGAGCCTCGCGGCCTCCTTTTTTCTTGTCCTTGAGGACGGCATCGAGGAGCTTGTTGGCCTTGACAAACACGCCACGCTTCAAATCGAAGCCCCGGTCACGGTCATTGACTTCTCTCTGCAAGGCTCCTCTTGCAGCTATTAGACTGGCCCGTTTATATTCCTTCTTGTCAAGAGTTCTCACGGAGCAGTAAAACCTTTCGAGGATTTCCGCCAGTACCTTGTCTTCGACAGTAGCAAAATCACAAGACAAGCTCTCCTGTATCAAAAAATCGCTGAACACCTTCAACCAAAACTTCGTTGCAACTTTGGTTGACTTTAAATAATAGGAACTGCTGATTCCAAAAGTTTCTTCCTTTCTTCTTCAGAAACGGACGCAAAACGTCCAGAAGAGACGACCAGACTCGCCCCAATGTCAAGCTAACTATACTCTCGCTGTCCACCGGT